AATTACTCAAATGCGCATGACATTGCGCTTTCTGGTTAGTGCAATATACATTCGTTTACAGCCACCGGAATCACGGATTTTCACCTTAAAGATTTATTGTCGGACTTGCAATTAATATCTTTACAACACTTTGTGCACTTTAAATGTCATGTGTTTGGACATTAATCACATGATTGTTTTTTAGCGCTCTGTAGCGTCTTATGTTTTCGATTTTATTATTCAAGTGGATTTATTTATTCTCATATTTATATAGCTCTGCATTTTTATGTATAGATTTATGAGAAGGATTCAGAGGTTTGCCTTTATGCTAGCTGCTCAACCACTTTTTACCTAGCGCTCGTTTGTTTTGATTGAGTATGTGTTTGTTGTTTACAGCTAACAATAAATGAAATCATGTTATGGTCACTGCTGCCCAGATGTTCTTTATATGAACATTAGTAATAAGCTCTACATGGTTTGAAATTACCAGGTCCAGAGGAGCATCATTCCTAGTCAGGGCCTCTTTCTGTGCAAGAAGCTGAGTCTTCACCTCCTCATTAACACTGGTTGGCCTACCACTTGGTGGCTGAGTTGCTGTTGTTCCCAGTTGCTTCCACTTTGTTATATTACCACTAACAGTTGAGCGTGGAATATTTAGTAGTAAGGAACTTTCACGGATGGACTTATTGCACAGGTGGCCACCTATCACGATACCACGCTCAAATTCACAGAGTTCCTGAGAATGTCTCATTCTTTCACAAATGTTTGTAGAAGCAGTCTGCATGTCTAGGTGCTTGATATTATACACCTGTGGTCACGGAGGTGGCCCAATACTTTTGGCAATATAGTGTAGTTCTCTTTGTGCACCAAAGCTTTCAATTCACCTATTTTGCTTGGCAGACTTCTGGCATTGGTGAACAAACACTTTAATTCATTGTCACATTTTGCACACGCATATTGCATATTTTTGTTTTTAGTACAAAGAATACCATTTCCAACGGTTGTTTGTAATAGAGATGAGCGAATCGAACATGAAGAAGTGGAATTCGTTCCGAAGATTTGGAAAAATTCTATTTGCGACGAATCCGAAGATTAGCAAACTTCGGATGCACGAATCGAATTTTCCCAAAAATGGCGGCACATGTGTGGCGACAGGAGAAAATGGACAGAGAAGATGGGGCGGGGATCTCTGGGAAGGCGCGCAGACAAGGCGCGCTGACCCATAATGCATTCATGAGTCATGAATCATGGCATGTGATCGCATTAGCCAATCAGCAGCCAGCCAGCACTGTGTAATGGTGGAGCTATAAATCGCGGCCATCTTAGAATTCTCCATTAGCCTCCGGTCATTCAAGAGAGACAGACCTGTCTGTATTTAGGGACAGAGTTAGGGCCACAGAGACTTTAGGGCCACAGAATCGTTACTCAGGGACACAGAATTGTTACTCAGGGACACAGAATCGTTACTCAGGGACACAGAATCGTTACTCAGGGACACAGAATTGTTACTCAGGGACACAGAATCGTTACTCAGGGACACAGAATCGTTACTCAGGGACACAGAATCGTTACTCAGGGACACAGAATCGTTACTCAGGGCCACAGCTATCAAAGAATCGTTAAAGTGACATACACCCTTTTTTTTTTTGGTGGCTGTCGTGCACAGTTGGTGCTGCAGTTTGTCGATTGTGCAAAATAAACTGACTTTCTGCTTCACAACCACTATTGTACGTTCAAAGAGTTAGATCCATTTACACGCCGGGTGGCGGTAATATTTTTTGGGGGGATTAGTGCATTCCAGTGACATAAACATACAGTTTCCAGCCAACGGCAAGCAAGCTGCAATTGACCGATTGTGCTAAATAAACTGACTTTCTGCTTCACAACCACTATTGTACGTTCAAAAGAGTTAAATCCATTTACACGCCGTGGCTGGCAGTAATATTTTTTGGGTGATTAGTGCATTCCAGTGACATAAACGTACAGTTTCCAGCCAACGGCAAGCTGCAATTGACCGATTGTGCTAAATAAACTGACTTTTTCTGCTTCACAACCACTATTGTACGTTCAAAGAGTTAGATCCATTTTTACACGCCGGGTGGCGGTAATATTTTTTGGGTGATTAGTGCATTCCAGTGACATAAACGTACAGTTTACAGCCAACGGCAAGCTGCAATTGACCGATTGTGCTAAATAAACTGACTTTCTGCTTCACAACCACTATTGTACGTTCAAAGAGTTAGATCCATTTACACGCCGGCTGGCGGTAATATTTTTTGGGTGATTAGTGCATTCCAGTGACATAAACGTACAGTTTCCAGCCAACGGCAAGCTGCAATTGACCGATTGTGTACAATAAACTGACTTTCTGCTTTCACAAACCACTATTGTACGTTCAAAGAGTTAGATCCATTTACACGCGGGGTGGCGGTAATATTTTTTGGGTGATTAGTGCATTCCAGTGACATAAACGTACAGTTTCCAGCCAACGGCAAGCTGCAATTGACCGATTGTGCTAAATAAACTGACTTTCTGCTTCACAACCACTATTGTACGTTCAAAGAGTTAAATCCATTTACACGCCGGCTGGCGGTAATATTTTTGGGTGATTAGTGCATTCCAGTGACATAAACGTACAGTTTCCAGCCAACGGCAAGCTGCAATTGACCGATTGTGCTAAATAAACTGACTTTCTGCTTCACAACCACTATTGTACGTTCAAAGAGTTAGATCCATTTACACGCCGGGTGGCGGTAATATTTTTTGGGTGATTAGTGCATTCCAGTGACATAAACGTACAGTTTCCAGCCAACGGCAAGCTGCAATTGACCGATTGTGCTAAATAAACTGACTTTCTGCTTCACAACCACTATTGTACGTTCAAAGAGTTAAATCCATTTACACGCCGGCTGGCGGTAATATTTTTTGGGTGATTAGTGCATTCCAGTGACACAAACGTACAGTTTCCAGCCAACGGCAAGCTGCAATTGACCGATTGTGTACAATAAACTGACTTTCTGCTTCACAACCACTATTGTACGTTCAAAGAGTTAGATCCATTTACACGCCGGGGTGGCGGTAATATTTTTTGGGTGATTAGTGCATTCCAGTGACATAAACGTACAGTTTCCAGCCAACGGCAAGCTGCAATTGACCGATTGTGCTAAATAAACTGACTTTCTGCTTCACAACCACTATTGTACGTTCAAAGAGTTAAATCCATTTACACGCCGGGTGGCGGTAATATTTTTTGGGTGATTAGTGCATTCCAGTGACATAAACGTACAGTTTCCAGCCAACGGCAAGCTGCAATTGACCGATTGTGCTAAATAAACTGACTTTCTGCTTCACAACCACTATTGTACGTTCAAAGAGTTAGATCCATTTACACGCCGGGTGGCGGTAATATTTTTTGGGTGATTAGTGCATTCCAGTGACATAAACGTACAGTTTCCAGCCAACGGCAAGCTGCAATTGACCGATTGTGCTAAATAAACTGACTTTCTGCTTCACAACCACTATTGTACGTTCAAAGAGTTAAATCCATTTACACGCCGGGCTGGCGGTAATATTTTTTTGGGTGATTAGTGCATTCCAGTGACATAAACGTACAGTTTCCAGCCAACGGCAAGCTGCAATTGACCGATTGTGCTAAATAAACTGACTTTCTGCTTCACAACCACTATTGTACGTTCAAAGAGTTAGATCCATTTACACGCCGGGTGGCGGTAATATTTTTTGGGTGATTAGTGCATTCCAGTGACATAAACGTACAGTTTCCAGCCAACGGCAAGCTGCAATTGACCGATTGTGCTAAATAAACTGACTTTCTGCTTCACAACCACTATTGTACGTTCAAAGAGTTAAATCCATTTACACGCCGGGTGGCGGTAATATTTTTTGGGTGATTAGTGCATTCCAGTGACATAAACGTACAGTTTCCAGCCAACGGCAAGCTGCAATTGACCGATTGTGCTAAATAAACTGACTTTCTGCTTCACAACCACTATTGTACGTTCAAAGAGTTAATCCATTTACACGCCGGGTGGCGGTAATATTTTTGGGGTGATTAGTGCATTCCAGTGACATAAACGTACAGTTTCCAGCCAACGGCAAGCTGCAATTGACCGATTGTGCTAAATAAACTGACTTTCTGCTTCACAACCACTATTGTACGTTCAAAGAGTTAAATCCATTTACACGCCGGGTGGCGGTAATATTTTTTGGGTGATTAGTGCATTCCAGTGACATAAACGTACAGTTTCCAGCCAACGGCAAGCTGCAATTGACCGATTGTGCTAAATAAACTGACTTTCTGCTTCACAACCACTATTGTACGTTCAAAGAGTTAAATCCATTTACACGCCGGCTGGCGGTAATATTTTTTGGGTGATTAGTGCATTCCAGTGACATAAACGTACAGTTTCCAGCCAACGGCAAGCTGCAATTGACCGATTGTGCTAAATAAACTGACTTTCTGCTTCACAACCACTATTGTACGTTCAAAGAGTTAATCCATTTACACGCCGGGTGGCGGTAAATATATTTTTTGGGTGATTAGTGCATTCCAGTGACATAAACGTACAGTTTCCAGCCAACGGCAAGCTGCAATTGACCGATTGTGTGCTAAATAAACTGACTTTCTGCTTCACAACCACTATTGTACGTTCAAAGAGTTAGATCCATTTACGCCGGGTGGCGGTAATATTTTTTGGGTGATTAGTGCATTCCAGTGACATAAACGTACAGTTTCCAGCCAACGGCAAGCTGCAATTGACCGATTGTGCTAAATAAACTGACTTTCTGCTTCACAACCACTATTGTACGTTCAAAAGAGTTAAATCCATATACACGCCGGGTGGCGGTAATATTTTTTGGGTGATTAGTGCATTCCAGTGACATAAACGTACAGTTTCCAGCCAACGGCAAGCTGCAATTGACCGATTGTGCTAAATAAACTGACTTTCTGCTTCACAACCACTATTGTACGTTCAAAGAGTTAAATCCATTTACACGCCGGGTGGCGGTAATATTTTTTGGGTGATTAGTGCATTCCAGTGACATAAACGTACAGTTTCCAGCCAACGGCAAGCTGCAATTGACCGATTGTGCTAAATAAACTGACTTTCTGCTTCACAACCACTATTGTACGTTCAAAGAGTTAAATCCATTTACACGCCGGGTGGCGGTAATATTTTTTGGGTGATTAGTGCATTCCAGTGACATAAACGTACAGTTTCCAGCCAACGGCAAGCTGCAAATTGACCGATTGTGCTAAATAAACTGACTTTCTGCTTCACAACCACTATTGTACGTTCAAAGAGTTAAATCCATTTACACGCCGCCGGGTGGCGGTAATATTTTTTGGGTGATTAGTGCATTCCAGTGACATAAACGTACAGTTTCCAGCCAACGGCAAGCTGCAATTGACCGATTGTGCTAAATAAACTGACTTTCTGCTTCACAACCACTATTGTACGTTCAAAGAGTTAAATCCATATACACGCCGGGTGGCGGTAATATTTTTTGGGTGATTAGTGCATTCCAGTGACATAAACGTACAGTTTCCAGCCAACGGCAAGCTGCAATTGACCGATTGTGCTAAATAAACTGACTTTCTGCTTCACAACCACTATTGTACGTTCAAAGAGTTAGATCCATTTACACGCCGGGTGGCGGTAATATTTTTTGGGGTGATTAGTGCATTCCAGTGACATAAACGTACAGTTTCCAGCCAACGGCAAGCTGCAATTGACCGATTGTGCTAAATAAACTGACTTTCTGCTTCACAAC